TAATGTTAGTAATAGAATCAACCTTGATAAAGACTAGATTCATCATATGCAACTCTTCATATAAATCATCTCAACATTAAGTCAAAATACAGTATCCACGGAATGTGTTGTGCTGTATTAGGGCCAAACTCCTGCCAGGAGCAAACACAAGTCGGTTCCTACCGAACTGTCAGGGGGCCACAGCCACCCCGAGGACTGGTGGCGTCCGGACTTAAATTGCGTCACTAAGACGCTTTGTAGGTCCCTTTAAAACAAGTGCACTTATGTTAGTGTGAATTCTAGCCAGGGAGGCGTATCGCAGACCTTTTGAGCCTCCTACTTACAGTATATGTTTAAATCATCAGCAGGGAAAAACGCTAACTTATTGGGACCTTTTCCCTGGCAGCTTGTTTTTGTGGCTGTACTTCTCTTGTAAGCAGAACACATGGATTTGGGGATTTGGAGGAACCCAGGACGTGCAGAAAATGAAAACAAGTAATTGTACAAATTGTCCTGGGTACCAGAATAGACACGAGGCATGTTGAGCCTTAATTCGCACAATGGTTTGTGGTGGTGTAGAGGCCTTTGGGAACGCCTAGCTTTAAGACTCACCCGGAGCTGAAGTTCGTCCTACTCGCCCTCTGTGGGGTGCCTCTGGAATTTTCTCTGGGGGTGTCTCAACCTCCGCCATTTTGGACTGCCTCTCCTATCAGCCAGGATGTGCCCAAAATGCAGACCTGGCCACCAAGAAGTCACAGTGCACCCCACGCTCCCTGCAGGGCACCTCCCGCCCTCCTCTCCCTTCCAGCCCCAGCCCTTGCTCCTTGGCTGCTCTCGTACCTGGGCCTCCCCGCTCTGCCACCGCCCGGCGTGCGCTTCCACCGCGGTACGTGTGATACAGCCGAAGGAGTAAGTGGCCTCGTGGTAATTGTGTACTGTTTGTTTGCGGATCGCGGATCAGGCAACCTGTTTCTTGCTCGTATGTGACCTTGGAGGAGCACAGTGCTTTTGTGTCTGGGCAGTATTAGCTCTGTCTCCACGGAGCTTCCTTTAGGTTAATATCTGGTCGGGATGTGAACTGTTGCCAGGCTAAGCCGTGAACAGAGGAGGTGGGAGGCCATAGACCCAGGGCTGCGTGGCAGGCTCCCGGTGGCACTGTGTCACACCGGTCTGTGCGGGGAGCAGTCCCGGCGTGAGTGGGCCTTCTGCTGAGGGTTTCTGGATGGAGCGCGCGCCTGACGGGCACGGAAGCTGGCACGATGGCACCGGCTTCTGAGACGAGGAGAAGGCCCACATTTGGGAGCCGCCGGCCCGGAGACCGGTGGCGGGGCTCCCATCTGTCTCCCCATCCAGGGGCGGGGCGGGGCGGGGCCTTCGGGGCTTTCAGCACCGGGCCTCCTGGACAGCGGACCCCAGCTTCCAGAAGGCCCTCCCCCACCCCCGTGCAGATGCTGGTCACCCGTGGCCCTTCGGTTCCATGATGGGGAGCAGCAGTGAAGGGCGCAGGTGTCGCTCGTGGGTGGTGCGTCCAAGGTTTGAACTTTGGTTCCAGCCTCATTAGTAACATCACAGGACTGGTCTGAGCTGGGTGTGTGGTCACAGACGGATGTGGAGGGCATGGGGGGCATCCATGACCTTTGGGTCCTCACTGATGCCTCCAGGCAAACCCTCAGTGCACAGAGGCCACCCGCTGACAGCTCCCCAGATGCCTAGAACTTTCCTTGGGGTTCTGGACTTGGAAAGTACTCCTTCGGCACAGCGACCCAGACTGGGGAGGGGAAGGAAGTATGCCTGCGGCTGCGGCTCGGGGGCTCGGAGCCCCTCCCGGGAAATGGCAGCCCCCGGGGCCGTGCAGCCCGGGCCCCTCTTCCCGGTGGGCCCTGGACGTCCCCGGAGGGACGGCTGCGGGCGGGGGCTCTTCCAGGGCCCCCGAGTGCTCGCCGCTTGCCCCCCTGCGCCCTGGTCTCCGTGCTGCCGTCAGAGTGACGTGTCCGGTCCACTTCCCAGTTTCAGCGTTCCCTGCTCGGCCGCCTGGTCTCTGCGGGCCGCTCTGTGGGGCGCTCGGTTTCGGGAGCCGCCCTCCTCCTCGCAAGCAGCCTGTGCCGGGAGCCCTGCGGGCCCCCGCCTTGCTTCCTCTTTTCTTCCTCGTGGCTTTTACTTCCCTGCAATTTCCTTACTACCTGGTGTTCTCTATTAGGACTCCCCAGTGTCTGGGATTCCATTGTTGCCTGCCCTGCTGGCTCTTCCCCGTGGTGGGTTTTCTCTTGGTTTTAGGGGGTTTTTGAATTGTGAGCTCACACTTGCGTGGGCTCACTTTTTGGAACTCCTGTGGGCCTCTCTTGGGCTGTTTCCTCCTCAGAAGGACGTGTGTTGTGACCGCCTGGCCTTCAGCATCTCCGAGTGGGTGGCCCACCTCTGTGGTGACCCTCAGCCCTGCCTGCCCAGCATCAGTGGCGTTTGCTGACGGCTGTCTGTCCTGTCCCCTCTCCTCTGCCCCAGGGACTCCCCATACTTCTTTGGGGCCGGCAGTATATTAAACAGCATGTTTATTCCTGTTCTGTCTTCACAGTCATTCTATAAATCTAAGGCTGTTCTAAAAATAAAGTGTACTTTTAAAAAGCACATTTCTTGAACTTTTCCTGCATCTCCGTGCTCTGCATGGAAGGCCCCACGGGCCGGAGCCGCCACAGCCCTCAGAGGCCGCGCCAAGCCCACCGCTGGCCATGTCCGCGTGCCCCCTGGGCCCCGCCCCAGCACACTTGGGGGGCGGGAGTCTGTGCAGAGATGTTTCTAGCGCCTTTTGTTTTGTCGGCCACAGCCTGAGAACTTAGTTTTAATCCTGATGTAACCTGGAGCGATCCATGCCCTTCACGTTTAGGAAGCTTACGTTTTACGATTTATTTTTCATAGATTATCATTGGCAGTTTCTGGTTTTGTGCATGCCTCGCAGATTTCCTCCTCAGAGGCTTGGAATGATTTGCCCTTGGTGTTATTTAACCTCTAACTCGGCTGCAGGTGATTTATGGTGAGGGTGGGGGAAGGACAGCCATCATACGCCTTTGTCATTCCTGGCCAGGAGACCCACCTGCTTCTGTGACGGAAGCCAGGCCTTGGTGTCGGGGCCCAAGGCCAGGCCCCGGCCGCGGGGCTGCTGTTCTGCCTGATGTCTGGCAGGATGACAAGTTGAACCCTGGACACGGAACAGGCATGTCTTTCTCTTGGAAGTTGCTGATCGGGTGCCCAGGCAGCTTTGGAGTGTTTCTGACCAGGTCTCAGGGCGGTTCAGAGCAGCAGCAGCCCTCGTCTCCCCTCACTCTTTGAGGTCGGACCCTTTCCTGGGGAGCAGGGCGGTCACTTGACTGGGCTCCCTGGTCCTGCAGGTATAAGTCCCACCAGGTGAGGGGCTGAGACCAGGTCTGTTAGGGATGGGAGAGGATCCCCGCCTTCCACGCAGGCTGGGGTCAAGGTTAGGGGCCGTGGCCCCGGGGATGGACGGTGGAGCGGGAACACACAGCCCAGCGGACTCGGGGAGCCGTGCCCCAGCTCAGACGGCTCGGGCGTGCTCTCCCCCTGCCGCAGGGGCCGTGCGGGGCCTGTCATCATCGAGGGGAAGGGGTTTTCACTGGGCACCTCTGGGCCTCCCCTGTTTGCGTTTTGGCCCTAGGGGGCTTGAACACGACCAGGATCTGGGGAGTGGGGAGGGGCACGGCGTGAGGCCTCCCGCCAAGGAGGCGCAAGCCCACTGGGTGCGCCAGCTCGTCCGGGCGCTCTTCTTGTCCCCTCCTTCTGTTGCTGAGCCTTCGGCAACGCCCTCCCCACCTCTTGCCCTCCAGGCCCACCTCCCTCTGCAGAGAGGCCTTGGGTCCAGTTCCAAGCTGGCGTCCTGGGTTCTGTGGCAAGGACTGAGCCCCAGGAGGCAGGCCTCTGCGCTGCGGAGGAGCGCCCAGGCGTCCTCTTATCTTGGGGCAGGGAGGTTTCTGCACACCTCACCCTGGCCCTGCAGGGCCAGCCTGGAGGCCCGCTGCCTTTGGGGCCTGGGCCTGCGTGCTGCTCTCCGGAGCTGCGACCTGTGCTGTGACCACGGCATCTCAACAAGCGTACAGTCTCTCTGTGCCGAGCCGCTCCCCCAGCTCCTCAGCCCGGGCGCCCTCCCCTCTCCCAGCTCCCCATGTTCTCCTGCCCCCACCTGTCCGGGTGGGAGGGCAGCCTGGCTCTGGCGGGCTTGTAGGCACCTCCCAGGTAGATCTCAGCCACCTGCCTGCCTGCCAGCCACAAGGCTGCTGTGGCCGTTGTTATTCTGAGTGGCTGTCATTCCAGAGCCTCCCTTCACAGCCTCCAGCTTCCAGTACAGGGCAGCAGGGGCCTTGTCCCTGTGCCCCTGAGCCCGCCCCCACCCCCGCTCCAGCCTTGCCCTCTCCTAGACGCCCGCCCCCCGCCCCTGGCAGCTGCTGTCTGGTGGGTGGCCTGCCCCCAGGAGCTGTGTGAGCTCTCCCGCCCAGGGTCTGCCCTGGCAAGTGGAGGCGGCGGCACGAGCGGCCTGCCACCGGGGTGGAGGTGCTGAGCAGGGTGTGACGTGTGCAGGGCAGCGCCGGCGCCCGGCCCCGCTGGCTGGCAAGCCTGCAGCCCTGGAACGAACTGTCGGCAGGTCGCCGGCCTGCCGGCCACTGCGCGTGCCCCTAGCCTGGTGCCCTTGGCTCACCGGACTGAGGTGTGGAGACGCGCTGTCCCCGAGGCTGTCACTAAGACCGTGGTGTCCACTGTGCTGGGGTTCTTTTCCAGCGAACGTGACGGGGACTTCCGCTTCGTCCTGATGCGGCCTGGCTCACCCATCGGCCTGGGCGGAGTTCAGTCAGGAAGTGGGAGCGTAACCTGACTCACCGAGGTGCTGGTTTTCCCGGGACACCTGCGCGGGAGCCAGAGCCGTCCCCAGCCTCTCCAGTGTGTTCCACAGGTGGATGTGCTGTTTCCTGACCTTTGTCATGAGGCTTAATTAACTCATGTCTCTCTCTCTTTTCTTTCAGTCTGCAACTGTATCTGACGGTGGTAAGTCACAATTTCCGATGTATATTTTTATTGTTTTTAATGAAGTTTTCAAGTTGTGAACGTTGTATTTGCCATTGACTCCCTCAGAATAGGTGTTTTCTTGGCCATTTCCGTCCGGTGGGGGAGGGTTTTCGTCGGGGCTAGTTTTGGGGAGCTCCCCGTGGCTCCCAGGTGGCCGCGGCCTGTTTTGGAGCTGTGCACCGCAGAGACATGTCACGAACCTGAATTTCAGCGTGAGGGACGCTGCGGTTGGCGAGGCGCCGGGCTGTGGCCCGTCCTGCCGCGCACCTGGGCTGGGCAAGTCAGAGCCTGCGGCCGGCGGGGAGCCGGCTAGAGCCTGATGAGGGGCGAGTCCAGAGCTCTCGCTGGGTGTGAGCAACCCCGGAAATTCGGGCGGCGCTCGCAGCTGCTCAGCCGCCCTTTCTCAGGAGGAGAGTTAGATGAACTGAGAGTTGTGGGGTTGGGAGGGGGAGGCCGATCAAAACGTCCGTCTTTAAATGATTTTGTGCATGGGAATCCTTTGAATGGGATTGATTCAGAAAGGAAATGGCCAAAGATGTCTCATTTCACTTAAAATTTCTCTGATGCAATACTTATCATTTTAGTTCAATGATTTTTTTTTAAACTCCAAGATGATTGGATGAGTTTCTTCCAAACATTCCTTGTTTCTTACAATAGCTCATAAAAGTCATTATGCTTACAGGTTTTATTCACATGACTTAAATTAATCTGTTCTTCTGTCTTTTGAGAGTTGAATTTTATAATTAATCAAAGGTGCCAGCACTTTTTCTTTTACGTGCTGGCCGTGTGTCTGATGTCCAGAAGGCCACCCTCGTTGCCTTTTACTGCCAGTTCAAGAGAAGCTGCGTGTTGCTTTATTGAAACTTTGTGTTGTCCTGCAACCTCTGGCCTCGCCCAGGCCTGAGGAAGGGCTGCTTTCCCGGGAGGGGTCGCCGGGCCCTGTTGCAGGGAAGGCGCTGCCCGCCGCGGGGATAGCCAGGCCTGGGCGGACGAGGGGCGCGCCCCGGGGCTGCAGGCGCGCTTGCCCTGGCGCACAGACCCGAGAGGTCCTGCAGCTTGTGCTCGGGGATCTCTGTTCAGTAAGAGGGCCTGTGTCACCTATCTTACGTGCAGTGAGAACCATGCCACTTAATCCGCCCTAAGCTGGGAGTGAGAATAACTTCCTTAAAAGAAACCGGACCTGTCACCAAACCCAGGATGAAAGGGAGCACTTTTATGAGGGTCTGCTCGTGCCTGTCCTTCCTGCTTGTTCTCATTTCTCTTTGCTGGTACAAGTCTCATTTCTACAGGAAACTTAGCAGTTTGAGTTTATTTAGTATGTTCAATTGAATCACACACGGTACCTTACTCGTCCCTGAAGTTTTCTTCTGTCAACAGTGGATGCAAGAACCGCAGGGAGTTTTGTTATAAGCCATTTTGTACTTTTTAAAAAGCTGGCTCACAGGTCTGATGGCCTTTCTAAGGAAGTGGTGTCCCGGCTGGTGGCCGCGGTTCCCCTCCGCAGGGGCTTCCCACCCCGCTGGCCTCCGGCTTCTCCCACGTCCGGCGGGGGCTCCCCGGTGTGGCCCTGCCCCCGGAGCCCCCGCGGCGGGGCGGGGGGCCGCTGTTGCGGGAGGCCCCGAGCCCCGGGCGCGGCACCCGGCGGGCAGCCGAGGTGTGTCCCGGGGAGCCTTCGCCGCGCCCTCACGGCTGGCCCTCCTGCCGTTTCTCCGCTGGTTCTGAGGAAGGAGAACATTCTCTCACTGGATTTGCACATAGGTTCCAGGACGCGTAGACCATGTGCTGCTGCCTTCACTGGTACAGACACTGTGGCCGACTGTGCAGGGCCGTGGAGACGCCAATACGGTGGCTGCTGAGCACAGGGCGCGGAGGGGCCCCGGCTGCTGAGGCTCATGTGCTCTCACTTCCCACCCCATCATCCCTGAGAGCCCCTCTGATTCCTGATGCTCGCTTCCCGGGGACACCTCAGTGGGACAGAGGAGACCCCATCCCGTCCACCCCCACCCCGCAGGGGACAGCAGCATGTTGAAAGGATCTGGGCAGAAACTCAGAACTTCGGGTGTTTCTGCCCGGGGGTGCTTTGTGCCGTGTTGGACAGGACAGCCAGGCTCGCCCAGCGCCAGGGCCTCCAGCAGCCCGTGTCTGTGGGGAGGGCGCCACGGCTCCCTGCAGGGACTTGGGGCCCCAGGGGAACGGGGAGGGCTCGCCATTCCGCCTCGCCCTGGCAACGAGTGAGCTGCTTCCCCCGGACACCCTGTGTCCAGTCGGCCTTGTCCATGAGGGGACAGGGGCTCATCTCATGGCTGCGCCCCATCCGATGGCCACGCTCCACCCCACGCGCTGCCCCGCGCAGCGCTGTGGCCACATCTGAGGGAGGTCGGACAATGACGCTTCTGCGGTCTCTGTCCACTCCCGGTGTTTCTTCTCTCCCACGAGGAGGCCGAGGCCACAGTAGGGGGAAGGGGTGCAGTCGTCCCGGTGGAGGGCTGGCCGGGCCGGCTGAGGCCCAGGAAGGCAGGTCCCACCACAAGGAAAGGAAGAGCATTCCGGCATTAGAGAGAGGCTTGAAAATGTTCTGACCTGCCTTGTGGAGCGAGGCTCAGAGGCGCGCAGGAGCCCTGCGCTGAAGCGGCCGCATAGGAGGGGCCGCCAGGTGGGGATGGAAGAGGCGAGACCCTCCCTTATGGACGGGACAGGGCCCCCCCCACCCCCTGATCCTGCAGCTGTATCGTAACAAAATTGGTACCTGTTTTACTTTTTCATTTTCCACTCTGTACTAAGCAGCGCTGCCAGGACTCCCCCTCTCGCCAACTCATACGGCCTCAAAGGTTGAGTGCTTGTGCCGGTTCTGGATCTGGCTTCCGAAGTGCAGAGCTTGGGGTGTCAGACACCCACATCCGCTGGCACCTGGTAGGCTGTGAGCGTGGGAAAGTCGGCTCTGGCTCCTGGCTCTGGGGCACGTCCACGCGACACCTCCACTGTGCTGCTCCATCAGCACTCCGCCTTCACTTGTCCCAGCGCGCTCTCGGCTTCCTCTCCACGCATGCTGGTCCTAGAGTCTCCGGGGGGTGGGGGGGCAGCGCGTCCTTGTCCTTGACTATGTTCGTGACCTTCCCGCAGCCCAGCGCCCAGCAGGCTGCAGCGTCTCCCTGCTCCCTTCACTGAACTGAACTCCTGCCCCGACGCAGTCTGCTCCCCACCTGGCCCCTGGCCCGGCACCCCTCTGCCTGCTCAGGGCTGCCACGGGGCTGGGTTAGCGTCTCCTCGTGCCCCACCGGCACTGTCCCTGCCTTGGTCTCCCAGGGCCCCTCAGGCACACGGGCTCTCTGGTGGCCTCGCTCAGCGTTGTCCTGCCGCTGGAGTGCTGTCCCTGGCCTGTGGCGTCCCTCAGATAAGTCTGTGCCGACCGCCAGCCCTTATTCTGAGCACTAGCCCGGCTTCGTTTCCTTCCACCTGCCACAAGGCCCATCGACTTAGTTTTTTTTATCTGCATCACGGGTTTCGTTTGCTCCCCCACTCACTAGAAAAGGACACCCACACGGTGGCTCAGGGTGGTCCTCGGCGCCTCGCACAGCTGATGGCACGGAGACGTTGTTGAATGAATGACCGTATCACGGCACTTACAAGCGCACTGACCTCAGTCCGAGTGTGGGAGGGAGACCTGGGCTGGGTGCAGTTTTTCCTTTTCACCGAAACCCTCTCCAAAGACAAGCAGACAGCTCAGTAGAATGCAGCTGATGACACGCAGAGACAGAAGTGTCTGGCTGGTGGTGGCAGGACCCGACCGGCCGGTGTCCCTCTGCTCGGGCATGGACGGTTCTCCCTCCCGGGGCAGCCAGCGCCCCACAAGCCGGGCCCGTCCCTGTCTCCAGAGACCGCATCACTTGCCCCTTCGGAGCAGAGGTGCGCCGCGGTGAGGCGGGCTGTGAACTGTGTGCCATAAACTAACAAGCAGTGGTTTCTGGTATTTCTGATTGTTGATTTCACATGGAAACTTGGGCCTTTTTGAAATCAGAAGTGATGTCTGAGAAAAAGACTGTGCCTTCTCTAATTCTTGTTCTCTGAATGGAGATGGGCTTTGATCTTAAAGCCCTGCCCCCCGCCCCTCCTTGGCCTGCCCCTTATCTCACGGAGCACGGAGGAGCACGTGGCTGACACCAGGCGAGAGGGCGTCAGGGTGGGGCTGCCCGGTTGGGAGGCGACAGGGAGGGCGGTGCAGTGGAGCTCCCGTCCGGGCTTTGTGTACCTGGGGCCTGCGCCTGCTCCCGCTCAGTCCCAGGAGCTCAGGAGTGGGGAGACTCGCCCCTTGGAACTGGTAGCCGAGAGGCCGTGCCGGCAGCTGAAGGTTACTTAATGTTGCAGCCAGAGTGGGAGACAACTAGCTACGTCGCTTTAAGCCGACCATTCTGAATGAGATCATATCCTAGAACAGCCTCGTGAAAGACGGTGGCAGAGAGAAGGGCCGCAGCTTGGGTCAAGCATCCGTGGGCGGGCTCAGTCCCCGCTGTCAGTAACGACTTCCTGCCCAAGGGTTCTCTTTTTTATTTAAAAAATTATCTATTTAAATTCTTTCCACCTTTTTGAGGCATAATTGACAAATAAAGTTGTGTGTATTTAAGGTATGTGATGTGATGACTTGATACAAATCCCCACACCAAGCTAACCCCTCCCTCACCTCACAGTTATCATTGGCTTTTTTGTTGCTGGTTTTTGTTTTTTGTAGTGAGAACTCTTAACAATTGACAGTGTTAGTAAATGTCAAATATTTTATACATTATTATTAAGTATAGTCACTGTGCTGGACCTTAGTTCCCTGAAGACAATTCGTCTTCTAACTGAGGCTTTGTACCTTGACCAGCGTCTTCCCCTGCAGCGCCCCCAGCTCCTGGTGGCTGCCAGCTTGCCCTTGGGCTCTGGCAGGGGAGGGAGCTGCGCAGTGTTTGACTGCGTCTGACTGACTCCCTCTACACGATGTCCTC